TTCCCAGGCCAGCCGAGAGACATAGTCCCTCCAGCGTGTCCTGGGTCTTCCCCGGATTCAGCATCCATACTATGTTATCCTATTATTTATTGTGTGGATGTGTATGCATCCACACTATGTTATGCAGTTCTTTATTATTATTATTATCGCATCCACACTCTTATCTTCTTCTTTATTGTATGGATGCTGATTCAGCATTTACACTATGTTATCCTATTATTTATTGTGTGGATGCGTATGCATCCACACTATGTTATCCAGTTCTTTATTATTCTGGTTTCTACCACTGTTCTTCGGCATCTAATTTGTGCAGCATACTTTTACCTAGAAGGGCCATTGAGGTATCAAACTGTGTATCTCCTTAAGGATGTGTGCTCGTACGCAACGTTTTTATAACTTTTATACTTTTTAAGATATTCAACTTTTTTTACAGAAATTTCCCCATTGGAAATGAATTGGGCAAAATTGGAAGCTTAATATCTCCGGCATACCTTGGGCTAGAAGCGCCATTTCAACTTTATTCAACTCGTGAGACGTTCAGCTACTAGTGGTGCAAAAATCATCTGATATCTGTTATGGGTTTTTTTTTTATAATCCACATTTATATTTGTCCATAGACAATGCATGGGTGCAATGCCATTGGTAGCTATGCGTCACGTGACTCCCCCGGTCTAGGAGCTTTGCTATGCTTTTGCTCTTCCTCTTGTCGCTTTTGTGCTGCTATTATGCCATTCTTAATCATTATACACATATAATAGATGACAATCGTAGAGAAAATTGGCACCAATTCAGCTGTCAGTGTTACTGAGATGGGATGAATGGTATTTGCTAAGTCGCTCATTCCAGCGCATACCGTCTCACTGCTCCATAGACTTACGGTCAATACAGAAGATCCACTGAAGCAAAACGTCGGCATATTTGTAAATCGTAACTGTTCCTTCATTTTGTTTAATCTTGACATAATACAACAGTGGAATAGCACAACAAAGTGCTGTGTATATTAATATTGGGTGTCACTTTGCTCATCGCGCGTCTCTGCTCTGTCGCTTCCTGACCTGCAGTCAAATAATACACACTGGAAGGAAAACGTCTTTGTAATTATAAAACGCCACGGTTCCTTCAATCTGTTTAATATCATGACATAATACAACAGTGTACTAACACAACAGGGTGCTCTGTTTGTTTGAAACTGAATGCAGAAATGCACGTCTGGTTGTCGCTGCCCGCTTGTCTCTGCAGACGCTGTCAACAGCTGCTTGTTAACTGTATTCAACTCGTGAGAAGTTGAACCTTAACATCTCAGGAATAGCGTGGGCTAGAAACGCCATTTTAACTGTATTCAGCTCGCGATATAATCAGGCATTGATATCTTCTTGATATCTCTTATGGTTTATTTTTAATCCATATTTATATTTTGTCTACTTGTCAATTCAAAGTCAATGGCTCCATTCGTTTCCAATTACCCCCGCTGTAGTGTCACGTGACCCCCGCTCCGCTTTCTTCTGTGTGCGTTTCTCATCGATTCCTGCCAAAAATTAGCCATGAAATATGATTGGATTTCTTACCTTGTCCATGTTTGGGCTTGGAGTGCCCACCCGAACTTTCTCTTGTCTTCTCCGCCATTTGGAATTTTTCGTGTAGAGTGTTGTACTCTTCCAACACCACTAGATGGCAGTGTAAGTGTTCATATACTTGGCCAAAAGGTCTCAGTTAAGCAGAATTAACTACTGTGGTAATATAACCCAAAATGTGATGTACATGCATGTGTACGCCAGGTCCTAAGAGGTTAAGCAGCAACAGATGCAGCAATATAATAAAAAATATATAAGAATATAACAGAATGTATGCTGCATGGGAGCAGCATGTGCAGCAGAGTCATTGTGCAATTATGCATGTAACACAAAATCTAGGACACTTTAAGCAGCAACAAATGCAGCAATATAATAAAAGAATATAATAAATGTATGCTGCATGAGAGCAGCATGTGCAGCAGTCAACAGTCAATGTGCAA